TTTTTTTTTTTTTTTTTTTTTTTTTTTTTTTGCTGGGGATCGAACTCAGGTCCTTGCACTTGCGAGGCAGGTGGCGGAACCACTTAGCTAAATCTCCAGCCCAATGGTCTTAGCTTTTAGAAACACACACTGAAATATTTAAAATGAAGTGATGTGATACTTGACATTTACTCCATATATACTGGCTTTCAGGGCTGAGTAGGATTGGCAGAGCCGAGTTTTTAGTACAAATGAAACAAGATTCATCATATATTGATAACTGTTAAAGGCAAGAAGTAACAATCATTGGTGGTTACTTTATTCTCTTTCCTTTTGCATATATTGAAAAATTTCCAAAGTAAAAGTTTATACATATCTGTGCCTTCAAAAAGTTAATAAAGCTGTAAAGTTTCACTGGGTTTTTTTTTTTGAGGGGGCTGCCGGGGATTGAACCACTGAGCAACCACAGTGGCAGCAGAACCACTGAGCTAAATCCCCAGCCCTACACCAGGTTTAAATGTTAAAGAGAATGCTTTACTGCCGCACATCTATTAGAAGGGCAAACTCTTAAGAGACCACCACTTTGAAGTACTGTTATCATGAAGACATGTAAAGCTAAGCTGTCCTGGTGTACTGCTGTAGATCTGGTAACTTCATAATATTGCACGTAGGCCTAAGATCAAAAGTGAGACTTTAAATTGTATGATAAATTGGGAATTTCAGGGCCTAAAAAATTGTGGTCTGTTTGGGGGAGATGTAAGAGATGATGCATGAAAAATATGTGAAGTTCAGTTGTGATTGGCACATACGTTGTGTGGAGTACAGAAAGAAGAAGGTACACCAAAAACAGGCTGAGGCAAGCAGGACTTTCAGGATCCTCTCCTTCATGCTCCCTTTTACATTCAAAGTATTGTTTTCCATGTTGGTAAATAAACCTTTTTTTGTTTGTTTTTTTCCTAGCTGGGGAATGGCAGTCAATGTGTATTCTACCTCGATAACCCAAGAGACTATGAGCAGACATGACATCATTGCCTGGGTTAATGACATAGTATCTTTAAACTACACAAAAGTGGAACAGCTTTGTTCAGGTAAGAGATCATCTTTCAAGTATTTACCTGAAATGTTTACTGTCTTGAAGAATGCAATTTTATGACCCATACATGATTGGTTTTGGGTAGGAAAAATGTAAATCAGTATCGATATAAAATTAGAGGAGAAAACTCAGGTACAGCTAAAGAACAGATGGGAGAAAAATGGCTGAACGTCGAAAAGCAAGAGAGCTATCCTCACAGGTACTGTGAACTACCTCCAGCTTGCTCTCTTGACCCCTTCTCTGTAATGCTGTCTCCCAGCCTCTTCTCCATTACCCCATTTGCCACCACATTTACTGCTTACAATATAGAGTAGATCTTGTGACACCTTCTTTACAGAACTTCAGGGCTCTATGTTGTCCCTCACACAGAATAAAATTCAGTCTTCGGGTTGCCACTTAACCATCTTGGCAGTTTCATCTTTGTGCCTCAGTCCCACAAAACGCTCCCTGTTCCCTCAAGACTTCTCCCCTTTGACATCTCATAAATTTTTTTCACACTCCCTTGTCTTAGCAGGGCTCTTCACTTCTTTATCTTTGGGTGAGGTCCCGTTCCCCACTTTGAAATGCAACTCCCCTGCCAGCCCTCTGTGAAGCATCCCCCAGGTTCCTAGACTGCTAGGTTCCTACATGTTCCCAAAGCACTGCCCTCCCCTCCAGAATGACATGTGCCACACTATGATATAATGTCTGATTCCTACCCCCCAAAGGTAACAAGAGTTCTTGAGAATAGGCTCATATTTTATTTTTTGTTAAATGCCTACATGGCACTGTTACTTGATACCAACTAGATCTGCCAGGACTGCATACGAAGTTAAACTTGTCTAAAAAAAGAAAATGTTTCAATTTCGATAATAAAGTAGGGACATAAATAAACTAAAATCCATTTGTAGGTTAAAGTATTGAGAAAATAAATAGTCCTCCTTTGGAAACAAAAATATTTTCTTCTTGTTCTAGCATGAGAGTGTTATGAGAAAATAGAAAATATTGCTGAAATATGTTTGTGGGAAATTCTGTGAGAGATACTAGATACCAAAGAGTCATCAGTTTCAGCTGATGCATTGGTATTAGACATTTTGCTGTCGTTCCCAGAGGGTCCTGTGTAAAAAGAATATCATGCTGTGCAGTCAGAAATTGGATAGTGCGGGGGGGCACTCTCAGAGCCTGTGTGCAGCCAGCACCCACCAGTTTATATATTCTCCCTTCACTCGGTCTGGATTTGATCAGAATATTTTAGAGAGCTAATGTTCACTGCTATTGACATCTCTTCCTTCTTGATCCTTTTTCCCATAAGAAAGACATCGTGGCATTGCCTTCCCCACCTCTCTGTGCACTGTGCCTAGGAAGTCCTGTGACATAGGTCAGCAGAGGTAGTAACTAGCCAGTTTTTTTGTTCTTTAATACAAGCTAGAGAAAAGTAGACTGGTACTGATGATTTACCAGGTATATATATTGCTGGCCTAATGAAATGGCCCTAACTTACTTTCAGAAACAACTCTTACTATATCTTACTCAGCTCCATTCACTCAGATATTATTGTTTTGTTTTTGTTATGCATTCTAGAGCTCGTTAATATTTTCTTTTTAATTTGGTAGGGAAAACCCTTTCTGTGTTAGCAGTCCTTTTGTTACTAGCACATACCACATTGTTTTGAAATTGTCCATTCTCAGTGCACAGTGTTCCTTCAAAAATGCTTATTTGGAGGATGAATGAAAAGCAATTTGCAACTACTAGAAAACAAAGACAAAAATGCAGATCTTACCCACAGTCTGGGTGTGTGTATGTGGAGATAAGGGGAGTGAGGTTGGTTATCAAGAAAAACAGAAATAAGAGGGAAGGATATAAGGAAAGGAGTTATAGAGAACATTTGTACTTTGGTCTTAAATGTTTAAAGAATCTCTTCGGAGCTTCCCATGTAGTATACTTAGAGAGTTTTTGGTTGTAAGTAAAATTAGAGCAAATTAGAATTTTTTTAAGATAAAGTAGTAAATGTTTATGAGCAATATATATAATCTTTCTAGATCTCTCAAATTTCCCACAAGGCAAATACAATAAAATTTTAAGCAGCATCGGTAAAGGATTCTTGTATCATTATCTTAAAGCATCAGTGTACATTTGACCGCCACTCGCAGCTACAGTGCTACTATCAAGGGTGGTTTGATTAGAATGTGTAGGAATCGTTTTGATCACTATTGAACAGGCATAATTTTCATTAGGGTAACTTTCTTGTAACCTGAAGTTACAAGGTTTATGGTTTAGAAGAATGAAATAGATTTAAAGGTTTTCTTCTGCTCTGAAACATTTCTTGCTGAAAAATAAGCATGTTAATCTCCATACTAGAGAAAAGTCTTAGTTTAGGCAGTAGTTTCCTTAAAATATAAACTGTGGGGCAGATACATCTATACTGAAAAAGAAAATGCTTGAGGACCCTTGACATTCTAAGGCAATACCTTTGGGAGTGTAGCTTCCAAATATTCATTTTAAAAAGCAGCCCAACCAGGGATTTAGCTCAGTGGTTCCTCCACCTGCCTCATAAATGCGAGGTCCCGAGTTCGATCCCCAGCACAAAAAAAAAAAGCAGCCCATGTATTTTTGTCTGTAGCTCAGAGCTTGCAGGAAGGACATTTTTGAGAAACTCCAAACCACTAAAAGTAAAGTTAAATTATACAAAATCTGTCTGGCACAGTTTCCTTATTCATAACTTAATCTGCAACTTTTGTTTTCAGTGACATTTGGCAGAAGGACACTATCTTCTTAATTATTTATGAATTTATTTATTTATTTGTTCTAGAAAACACTTAAAGCAGCTAGGACTGTGCTATTAGGATAAGAACAAATCCAAATGTTGTTGACCTATGTGATTTTTCCTCGTATAGCCAAATTTCGGGTGGGGGGTAATAGTTCAATGTTTATTTTAATTCCTTTTAGTTTACTGTGTAGGGTTTTATTTTAGTAGCATGCTCTGGAAAACATATGCAAAATACTTTTACATATCTAAATTTATTTTTTTTTCTTGTGCAATCTCATTTCTTACTCTGCTTTATGAAGACTGATATTCCTATCTTTATCATTTTTGCATTCTTCCCCTATTAATTATTTCCCCCTTTTCTTTGTTGTTGTTGCCCCCCGCCCAGCTAAGAGATCTCTCTGTAGCTCAGGATTAAAACTAACAAACTAACATCAGTTTTTCTTTAGCTCAAAAAGAGCTGAAATACTACTTCTCATTGACGTTGCATTTTCCTCACATTTTCTGCCCTTTTGTAACATCTTTTGTTTCTATATAAGCATTTTTAAAAGTTTTTTTTAAAGGAAAGACGGTGTAAGAAGGTAGAACACTTCGGAATCCATTGTAGTAAATTGCAAAATAATGAAAATGATTCATTCTTATATCCTGTTATTTTATTCCAAAGATAAAACTTTATGAGCTTTTTCCTTGAACATTGAATCTGGTTCATGGGCTTGTGTGCATACTTTGCATTTATTTCTTGTGAAAAACAACTTTTATATTTCAAGTAAAAGTGGCTATATAACAAGTGTGAGCTATCAGTGATCTATAGATATCCACCACATTAATTGCCTGTCATAGCATGATGATATACTGCTTGCCTACAACTGTTTTGAAAATGAATCATTGTCTAAAAGTAAATGATAGAAAACAGAAGATTAGACCTTTTGCAAATGGAAAGGGGATCTGGAGATGGAGTGGGCAGGGAAGAAAAGGGATGGGAAGGGTGAGCAAAAAGGAACAAAATTGATGTGTATATGTACCAGTGCCCAGGATGAATGTATTCATATGTAAAATTTTTGGAGAAGAAAGATAAATCATTGTGGGTTTTCCATTTTAGAATGGGTTGCTGGACCATATACAGTAACAGATTTGTTTGGCTTTGAAGTATGTTATATTTCAAATTGCCTTTTGAGAGCAGGAGTCGTTGTTGTGTTTTTGCCTGAGTACCAGCTCAAACCATTTTGCTGGGTGTTTTATGAGGTGGTGTAATGGGTGAATGGGCAGCATGATGTTAAACACCTCTAAGAACACCTTTAGCAATGTGAGATATCTTACTGGAGATAATGGGGGGAAATGGTGGATTGTAATGGAAAGGAAGAAGAAAAGCAGTGGGGAGGGGAGTCTGACAGGAGTGAGGAAGAGCATCTTTTCCTCTTCCTTGCCCTCTCCCATGCCCTAAATACCAACCCTGTTGGAAACACTTCTGACATCTGTGTTTCTGTGTCCTCAGTTCTTGTCCCTGAGGCTGAATCTAAGTGGCAAAACCTGTCCTGTGTCTATGCACCTTCCCTCCCTCTTTCCCACTCCCTCACAGAGCAAGATAGCAGCAGCCGACTTATAGCAACTGCTGGCTTGCGTCCACCCTGCGGGGAGGCCATTGCCAGTGCAGTACTGTCACTCCACCAGTGCTGTCACTGTGCTGACGAGCTCAGTTATTTTCCTGAGCTTTTGAGAGATTGAATAAAATGTCATTGGACTTAGACCATGTTTTGATGAAAATGTAGGTATTTTTTGACTGACTCGAAAAAGAATGGTAGAAAAATGATGAGGATTTGATTCAGGTTCAATTTGTACTTCTCCAAATTGGTTCAAGCTTTGTCTTGGACCAAGTTTCTAGGATTTTCTTCTTCCAGGAAACCTTCTGAATTTGGCTCTTGATATTAGAGTCACATTTACAGATCTGGGTACGCGATAGCTGTGTAGAAGGAACTCGCTCTACTGTGTGCTCTGGGGTTAACGTAGGTGTGGCCATGAGACCCGAGGGACAGGTCCTCTGGGATTTGTCCTGATGGCAGTTGTTCCAGAGCCCAGCACAGCGTTCTTCATGACCATTTTTGACTACAGACCTGCACTTGTTTAATAGGTCAGTCCCAGCCTAGCACGGTGTCCCCTGTGCTTTCTCTCTTCTGTCCTCAGAGACCTCTGTCAGGAGGACAGGTTAGTGATGAAATCAGCTCAGAGGCTAAATTTAGTGGAGTTGCTCTTACCGG